GATCGCTGCCACTGGCAAGGACCTTTCTCCGCACAACTGCGACCCTGCTGCTGGCGTCAAAGAAATCGCCCACTGCAAGTTCTCCTACGCCACCTCCCCGATATCGCGCCTCTCTCCACCGTTGTTGCTACCATCGACGGCGATGTTGTTATCGAGACGCGCGCGGTAGGTGGGGGGAGGGACGGAGACGGTAGTGGAACGAGAGAGACCGCGGGGAGGCCAGTCAGCTTCTTTGTCCTGAAGCAGTCGTACCACTAGTTCGAAAACTCTTTCAATATGTTCTTGTCGAGCACATGCGCACGCGGGGAGATGGTGGCTACACATGGCGAAGGTCATTTTCGTCGTTTGAAACTGGCGTTGCTTTTCTATGACACATTTCTTGGAACAACATGTTACGGGGGGACGTCACCGCTTGGAGGGATCACCGTGTTCCGAAGACCCGCCAGATTGTTTCATGTGCGCGGCCCTTTTACCCTACACCGTTTCATGTCCTTGCGTGCGTCACTTCGTGATACAGCATTCATTGCGTCGTTTGCGTATTCTCCATATATATGTAGTCTAGAATTCCGACAACAGCCTCGTTAACACGTATGCATATGCATATAAGGGATCCAAGAAACACAACATGACCTAAAAGCAGCGTAACCACCCACCATCCCGAAAACATCGATTGGCCCATCCATGTTTCGAACCAAAAGCACGCATCAGTGCCGGCGAGCTTCCTCCAGGCGTCCAATGACGACGGGGACCGTGTTAAACAAAAATAATAGAAGCATCCCCGTGCACTACTGCATCGGTGGTCAGGTTGTCCCGTTCACAGACGATGCAAGGTCAACCCATTCTCCGGCTGCCAGGAAGCGTGGACTTCGAGGTAACCACCTGCCTTGCCCAGCCCCCCGAACGACCCCTGGTAAGCACACAGAGCGATGGTTGTTATCGCTCTGTGTGCGTGCCAGAGTTCCATCGAGGTAATCGGGAAGCCAGTTGATGGCCTCGAATCCGACGCTTACCATCACCCGGAGGATGGGTTGAACTTGCGTCGTCTGTCAAAGGGGGTTCGTAGTGGGGAAAAGCGGATTTTGCGGTATCGGTGCTCCAGTGCGTGATCGGCAGCAGGAGGGGGAGACAAAGACAGAGACAGAGACAGGTGGGGGGGAGGGAGCGAGAGAGAGACAGAGACAGAAATCCACATGTGTCTTCCTGCGTCGATCGACAGCGGTCAGCAAGAAGTAGAATGATATCCCTTCAATGGGAAAAATTGGACGACCTTAACCTGCAGACTGCAGCAGGTGGTATGTTCTAGTTTCCAATTACCGCACGATGGGATGGATGAAGTTCCACAACTAGTGCACACTATGTAGAGACATCCATCTTGATGTGCACTTGGCTCACCCCCCTCCATGACGGTCGGCGTCCGGATCGTCAAATGGGCGCCGGGGTGCGCAAGCTCGACGCCATGCCCATGCTTTTCGTCCCACTCTGCGATGAACACAATGGGCATTGGGCAGCCGTTTGGTAGTACACTGTGGAATGGCCATGTTCTCGGTGATGATGTTGATTGTTTTGCACCGTATATCCAAAAGGAAACATGACAGGAGAACCGAGGATTGGACAGTGAAATTGAGAGAGTGCAACGCAAACCAGCATTGCCCTGTATTCCGCTGATCAGTTTCATCTCTATTGCAATCACGTGTTCATACATACTGAAGAGTGAATGCTGTCGTGTCTGTACAGTATGATCTCACCACGATGAATTGTACGGTATGTCTCGGGTGTGTCTCGATGGCAACATTCAGAGAATGACACAAACGTTTCCACACCCTCACGGCGCAATTGACAAAAGCGAGGTGGACAACGTATTTCTCAATTCCTTTGCATACCCTTAGGGGCCCACTCATCTTCATTGTCACGCCCCGGGACACTACAGTATCATGGGAGGAGGCGGCAACTCACGGCAGCGTACGGAATACATGGCAACGACATTGTCGTGGTCAAGTTGTCCTGTTTGACAAACGGTGCAAGGCCAACCCATCCTCCGGGTCCTGGGGACCGTGGACTTCCAGGTTACTAACTGGCTTCAGGAATACCTCGATCGACCCCTGGTAAGCACAGAGAGCGATGACTGAATAAGTCATCGCTCTGTACAGTCATCGCTCTGTGTGCTTACCAGAGTTTCATCGAGGTACTTGGGAAGCCGGTTGGTGACCTGGAATTCAACGTTTCCCGGCACCGGTAGACTAGAGGCGTGCCTCGTCTGTCCAACGAGGTTCGTACGGCTACAGAATATCGTATCGGTACCCCAGTGCCTGCTCGCCAACAGGGGGGGAGAGCCAGAGACTAAGACTGAGACTGAGACTGAGATAGGTGGGGGGGTACTCATAGTCGTGCATGCCGTAGTCGTTAGACCATTGACCTCGCATCCCTTTCCTTGTTGGTATATGTGTTGGACAATCTCGCCACTCACGTGCTACAGTAGTTCTGGTGGTTCTGATGGTCTCAAGAGAGCGCAGGTGATGTTCTTGGAGTGCGATGGAGGAGGATGTGTGTGTGTGTGTTGTGTGGGCAGTGGAGGAAGATGTTTAGGTAGTGCAGCAGCCCGCATTGCACAGATCACCAAGAGTTAGAAATTCGCGTCCGATCACGTCTGTCTGCTTTGCGGATAAACCTCCAAGTCACAGGTTCGACGAGATTTTGGCGGTCTCCATTCGCAAAAACAAACAAAAGAACGACCAGCACTTTTTCTCACAAGTTTGAAGCTCTGACGGATGTTATTGCTGCAGCAGCTGGTGGCGACGTCCCCCCAACGAGTGCAATGGGCTTGCGTGCATGCGTTCTATGGGAATCACGTACCGTATTTCCATCATCTATAACTGTAGCATCCTCGACAACAGCGCGCATGTTGAAGAGGAGTACGGATAAACGGAGGAACCGCGACTGGACAAAGATCATCCGCCTACAGCAACGGCCCAACCGCAGGTTAAAAGCGGGATCCTGGTAATGTTTCTTCCTGATCGAAAAAGCACCCGGAATGAACGACAACGACCGCTGCCTGCTAATCGTGCATGACATCTTCAACACTATTAATTGTAAACTACTGCTGTCGTTGCTGTGCAAGGGGTATCGTAGTTGAATATTTCCTCGGGATAGCCAATCACGACCTTAGAGGTGAACCCGTGGAAAGCAAAGGTTATCTCGGGGGGGGGCAGAATCTACTCAAGCGTACCACACGCACTCCATCATGCTTCCCAACGAACGTAATGGGTTTAAAACACGCGTAATACCGGTACTTCCTGCATGTAGCATATGTTGAGGCGGTTCTTCAGTGGCACCCGAGTGAAAATTCGAGTAGTCTTTTGGTCACACCGTAGGGGACCCTGGCATTCATTCGCCCTCTTTGGTCATGAGTGCCTTTCATCGCGGTATGTCCCCTCACTCTCGCCGCTACTCCAAATTGACATGAATAACTACGTTAGACGATCGATATAGTCTATCATTGAAAGAATACCGTTGTCCGCCCGCCCGCCATGTGCACATGTACCTTGGTCCTCGGAGTTGCTCCTATACGCTGATCGCTGATCATGGGCCATTCATTACATTGCTTGGATTGAGTGCTCAATTTCCCTTTCAGAGGAAATGCGTACGGTCGGAGAGAGAAATCTTCCATGAAAGCGCGGCATGATGCACCTGGTTTTCCACACACGAAGCCAGTTTTGCAGTAAAGCTAGAGAAAAAATGGAGCAATCAATCACAAGTCTGTCAATGCTGCTGTGCGCGGTTGCTTTACGTCACAGCAGCTTGTCATGGATTCTTGCTTTTTCAAGCACCAAAAGGCGACGACAAGAACTGCCATTTTCGCCTCACAAACCCGAAGTGCGCAGGGCGCCTCTCGAGAAAATTCGGCATCATATCAACAAATGCCCTAAATAAAAAGGTTGCTTGGGATTATGCCAAATGAACAACACATCATCGGGGGGCGAAGCAGATAAACGCAATCACCCTTGTGCTCGCTTTCTGTGCATCCTGGTAAACGGTCAACGAACTGAGGTAGTCAAGAAGACACAGGATACAATCCAATCCCAACTTCCGTCAGGATGATTCCCTCTTGGTCACAGGTAAAACAAAAAAAAAAACGACACACCCTCGTGCAATGAACGCCAATAACGCCTGCTTACACGACTACGAAACACCAGCCGCAAAGTCGAGCGTGCAAGGCCCAAACACAAACCTACAACAAGAGGTATTTAGAATTTCGTTGGGTTCAACAAAGGACTTCCTATGACTGTGACTGCGACGCGCCATACAAATACACCCTCACTTATTTGAAGCGGAATGCGCGAGACAGCAGTCACCAAACCTCGAATGGAGAATGACGAGGACGACGCGGTGGAACGGTAGGAAGAGTGGGCGACCAGGATGTCGCATGCCTCGTTCGCAAAAGACGCGACGCGCTGTCGCATTGTATGGTACTCGCAGTTCTCTCGCCGACTTCTGCCCAGACATACTCCTCTTTCGTATTCCAACATGTGCTTGACACCAACTCCAAACAACACATACCAAGCACCGACGAACACGTACAAATGAGACGAACAGCAGTCTGAACCTGTAAACCTCCCCCGCCAAAATACAAGACTCCCATCTCGACAGTCCGCAGTAAGTATTGGGTGCCAACAAAACAAAACCCAAAAAAGCACCGTGTGGAAGACTAGATGCGTATCATGGAACTATCGCAAACAAGCAGGTAGATATTCATACAAAGCCCGTGGCGTTTGTCTTCCCAACTACTCCACACGACCACGACCTCTACCGTTTCCTCCTCCTCCTCGCCACCACCACGACTTGCAGTAGTAAAAACTTTGGGTATATGCCAGTAACACTATTACGCCCCTGCACACCGAAAAAAAACAAATACAAAAACGGCAACTACAACCAAAAAGTAACTAAGCACAGGCGGCATGGCGGCTGCCGCCGCTACCGACCCGTCTCGGGGGCGTCAGCGCAGGCTACAAGCCCAACACTACCCGCCGCTGGTTCTGAAGGACCTCGTCGGTCACGACTTGGTCGTTCCCCGCAGCGCGCATCTCCTGCAATAATAATTTAAAAAAGAACCCAAGTACTCAACGGTCAGGCAGAAGCAAAAGGGTACATGTAGTCGTGGTACCTCAATCGCGGAAAACGGCAGCCGAGAACAAGAAAAGTTGAAAACGCCAACAATCGTTGAGATTGCCAACGAGGATAAGAACGATCGCTGTGATACCAGCTCGCCGCATCGTACAAGTCTCAGACGTGAGGAGAGACAAGTGTGTAGAAGCCAGCGAATAACGGCGGAGACGAAGCGATGACATCGATCAAGACGGACGCCAGAAACCAACCGGAAAAAAGCACATGAGGGAGATCCGCCACGGTGGCGAGAACACGTTGTTATCAAGGAAGGCCTTTTGACACCACAGAAAACGACGATAGCGATGAGTCATGCGGCGTTGGGAGTTCCCGACGGAAATATCCTTTGAAACACGACTGCTTCGTTCTGGCACTCCCGACATCTTGCCAGCCTTGTATTGCAACATTGTGAAAAAAAAACAACCATACACACAATGGTGTTTCGGCGACGGGTGATTATCATGGCAAATATCGTCTCATTGGATCCACCACATGTACGTCGATTGCAACAGGGAACGACACACTGGGCTTCCATGAAGCAAGCGGGCACGGAATGAGAGGCCTGCTTCGACCGAGCTGCAAGTACGCCGAGGACAAAGCAGCAGCAAAACGTGTCCTTACCTCCATCAGCTTGAGCCGCCGCTCTGCCAACGCCTGCGCCGACTCCGCCTCCCGGCTAGCCTGTAACCGCTCCTCCAGCAGCAGCTGCCTCTCCTCCAGGCTCGACGCCCCCCCGCGTGCCCCCCGCTCCCCCTGCGCTAGGTTTCCGTTGCCTCCGAGAGCTTCAACCCCCGCCGCCGCGATTGCTGCGGCGCTACCCCCGCCTCGGGTGAAGTTCGGTGATCCGATCTTGGCCTGTAGCGACTGCACGAGTAGGGCTGTAGCCGCTAAGGGCAAGTTCAGGGTGCTGATCTGAGCCATCACCCTGTTCACCAGGTCGGTGTGGTCCACCTGTTGTTTGAATGGGGTTTTCGCATTCCTGTGTGACTGATCGTTGAAGGCGACAAGTCGGCCAGCTAAATGGCGTCGAGGGTTGAACAATCAACGGTGGATGAGTCTACTGCCCACACGAAAGACTGACGCGACCACAACAAAGGCCGCTCGAAAGCACAGTCATATGCATCGCGTGCGCACTTTGTCTTTGGTTCTCAAGGAGGACGAACACTCTGATCCACAATACCCATCCACGGGGCAAACAATCCAGTCGTCAGACTACACCAAGGGTGCGATTGAGCACTTTCTGCACCTTGGTGCCAGTGAATTCGGCCATTACTATAGAATCAGGCGGTATATGAAAGTGAATAAGTCCGAAAAACAAACTGAGGCAGCCCGTGCATTATCTAGACCGCAGGTCAAGTGGCACGTCCTCGAAGGGACTACCCCCCCAGCAAATACGTGATTGCATTGGTGTATTTGAGATAGAAAGACAGCATTCCATATGCACACGGATACACAGACGGCCGAATTCCATTTACGAAGCGCCTGTTCTTTTAAACATCTAAATAGGGCGGACCAATTTTAAACATCTAAATAGGGCGGACCAACCAAAAGCAGACATCGTCCACTCCCGAGATATCCGAACATCTAGGGGCAGTGGATGAAGAGACTGACTTTCCGGCGTGGGGCCCGAAAAGCAAACATGTCTTCTCGACGTTCGCCGGGGGTGCTGTACCGTGATTCTACCACATGGTCGCCAGTAGGTCGGCTTCAACGTTGGATTACGTGCCTGGGAAAGCAGGACCCCCACTGGGGAAGGAGTGATCGCCACAGCCAACAGATGCGATAGCCTAACCCGTTACGCATTCCCATCCACGTCAGATCTGCGCACTGTCAGGAAGAGGACGCTGCCGATATCAATCAAGCGTATCTCTCTACCAAGTCTGACAATCCAAACCCGACCCGCGATGATCCCATCCCACCTTTTTCCTCTTTGTTGGCGGCGCTGTTGTTGTGGCCGATGCCGCCGCCGCCGCCGCCGCTGCCACAGCCGTCGAGTAACCCCTCACGGCGCCCCCCGATCCGAGTCGGAAATCTTCTGGCGTGGTCTCCGACGCCGTTCTCGGCCTCGACACGCCCGCCGCCGCCGCGGTCGTGCCGCCGGCGGCGGAGAACGCGCTTCCTCCGCCGAGGTCGATCCCGTTCGCGCCGCCCGCCTGCGCGGGGTCGTTCCCGGCGACTGCCGGCGGCTTCGGCAGCAGCGGCCTGTTCGCGCTTCTGACCGGGGTGGTTTGCGGCTGCTGCTGCTGCTGCTGCTGCGGTTGCTGCGGCTGTCGTTGTCGCAGCAACGTCGTGGAGTCGTTGCCGTTTTGGGGGGACAAGAAGGGACTTCCCGCCGAGGTGGAAGGGGCTCCGTCTGCCGCGCCGGCTCCACCGGCAACAACAACGCTGGTTGAGAGACCGGGGGCGCTGATCGCCGCCGGGGCCTTTGCCGCGGAGGCAGCTGCTGCAGCCGCCGCCGCTGCCGCTTGTACCGTCGCGCTGCTGCCACCGTTTTGGCCGGGAGGGGCGAAGAGAGCTCCGAACGGCTCGGGAGAAGGGTCCCGCCCCGCCTGCGTGGCCCCACCACCGGCGGATGACGTTCCCGACCTAGCCGCTGCTGCTGCCGCCGCCGCCGCTACCGCTTGAGTGTCACCGCTCCCCACCGCCCTGGGAACCTCCCCGACGCCCTCTCCGTCCTTCTCGAGGGAAGCCGCAGTAATTTCTTCGAACACCCGCGCCCTGAGTTGCTGGACCTATCAGCAAGAAAAAAAAGGGTAAACTGATGTTACTCACAAGTAGTTGGTACCTTTCGACGTAAGCAGGGGGGGGCGGGGTACTCATTGTCGTGCATGCCGTAGTCATTAGACCATTGACCTCGAATCCCTACAAAGCCGGGACGGAGCACGCCGGGTTCTCACCGGACCAGGCTCTCACATCACCAAGCGCGAAGCGCCGTGAGGTACTCGGCGAGTCGCATGAAGGGTGCGCTTCATCCTGCCAAGGGTGTTCGGCATCTTGTGCTTACTTCCTTGGGTACGGATGACAGCTGCGTATGAAGTACTGTATTTTCTGGTACTTTCACTTCCAGAAACAGCTGTAAGCACTGTGCAACTGCCTCGAGGGTGCTTGACCAATTCAACACAACGTGGTGCGATCATTCCCACTGCGCGGAGTGAGGGTTCTCGACCCCGTACAACATAATCTACTCCACCACCATTGTGGTCACCGCAAAAAAAAAAAAATGCAAAAAAGACAAGCGGTAACTTGGTGGCCGAGCTCACGAAGTGATTGGCTTTACCTTACAACGTCGTTGCCAAGAGACGAAAATTTAACCCCGATGGCAAACACCGAGGGAGGTGTGTGGGGGTCTTTGAACATTACAGAACAAAAAATCTCGTCCCTGCGCCCGGACCACGACGTTCCCCGAACAACAAACACGGGCGAGTTTTTTTTCGTTTCTGTCGTTGGTTTGATGTTTCGTCTTTCCAGGCTCCGTGCAGGCGGCGTTGCCCTGACGCACTTGCATTTGGCAGAGGGTGATCTTAACCTCCCTGCCTTTTCCGTCCTCCTTCTCGTTGCCGAGTCCCGAAGGCATTGCCACTGTCGGGTTAGCAACTAAACAGCCCACTTGGTACAAGTTCCGATGCACTTGCTCTTGGGAAAAAGAAGAAGAGGGGGAGGTTTGCCGCATTGCTCCCACTTCTGCCTCTGCCTCTACCTAAGCCCTCATCTAAACTCGCCTGCCAAAATCTCTGCCAAGTTTGTGGCCGACGGCTCAAATGCGCGGGATCAGGCGTGCCGCAAGACGTGGGAGACTACAGGTCACGCAGCGACGTAGCGTGTGCCCGCGGATACGTTACGTGCATAGAAAACCAGTCACAACACAGCTCTTCCGTACGTGACGGACTCATCAAGAAAATGGGCGTGTACTTGGCTAGAGGGCAAAAATGGATAACATACTTTTGGCGAGAAAAGTCACGGCCACAACCACCACCAACAACAACATCGATGACTGCGACAACGACAACACCCGCACGCACACGTCCAATAGAAGCCGAAATCACACCATTAGACTAGTCAACGCACCTCCGACAAAGGCCTTCCCGGGGGCGACCCCGGCATCCGCTGCCGCTCTCCCTCCACGCGCTCCAGCTCCTGGGTCCTCTGCGAGCGGACCCACTTTCTCAGATTCTCCACCCCAAAAGAGCCGCTAAACCTCAGGTCGACGTCGTGCCCCATTTCCGCGTACCTGGGAAACATTGCCGGAAAGAGCGCCATGCCCCCAATAGTATTGCTCGTCGTCTGAGGTCACCATGCTGTCAGAGCGCCCCGGGGGCTCCGTGATTGCGTCGTGGCTTCAACCGTGAGTGTCCTTTGTTTGTTGTCCCATCTATTCTGGGTGCCGACCTGCCCTTTCCGTATGCGATTGACGTACGCACGGTACCAAAACTGTTCCAATCGTACAAAGTTCTAGATCAAACTGGCCGGTGTGGGGCCAATGCACTGCTCCCACAACCACACGGCCTGCTACAACAATACTGGCGACGGTCGGTACCGAGTGTGCGAGTGTGCGAGGGCGTGGGTTGTGGTAGCAGACAACAGCAGTCGTGGGCACGCAGCAAAACGACTGCAGAGATTGTTTCTCCAACTCAAAATGACAGCGGTCTCACGAAAATCCAGAACGCTCTTGGAAACCCGCCCGCTGAGGCCTAGAAACGGAGGTGTCATCCCGAATGAAGCAACGAGTTGGACGCGGATATGGTGCATGTCCACAAATAAGCTCGAAAAAGGGCAGCGCAATAGTTTGCCAAAAGTACTACCCTAAACAGTCATGGAGATTCGACACGTTACAAGTATGCATATGATCGAGCAGTGAGACCTCAGCTGCAAAAGGTGCCACAAGATACCCTGGCACCCGCCGGTTGGCACGAGATATTACGCACCCCCGGGGCTGATTTTCAAAGCTCATCACTCTGCAGCAAAACCAGCGACGGTGCCGAAAAGGCGGCCTGGCAACGTGACATCGAGAGCCACCCGCAAATGTATTGTTGACTGCCGTGGCATCCTGTTTGTCGAGGGGAATTCGATTGTAAAAATCCGCCCAGGGGTGTGTGGAATCTTGCAGCCTGCGGTATTGTTATCAGATTCGCGTGTGAGGACAACTGCCGGAAGGGCCAAGGAGAGGTGCAAATAACGTGCACCGAGCAAGGAGGGAGAGTGTACAATCTGGATGGTACATGGTGTGAAGACACGAAAAAAAAAAAAAAACACCCACCGAGCGTTGCTCTTGAGCTTCTCTCTGACGGGAAGCGCCACCCTCTGTTCCCAGAACAACATGCGCCACGGCTTGTTGATCGATTTCTCCATTTCCTGGACCGCAAGGCAAAAAAAACACGAATGCGAAGGTAGCCGACGGTCTTCATGA